CCTCTCTCTCTCTCTCCTCCCCGCACACACCCCATGCTTCCGCTTCTTCTTCCCCCATCAATCGCGAACCGGATAGGGGATAGTAGATAGATCGCCCCCAAATCTTTGCCCTGAACACCGCGCCGGCCGGCCGCTTCCACCCACCACCACGCCCTCCCGCTCTCCCCAGATTCGGCTCTCCGTGGAGATTTCCGGGATCTTTCCGCCGGCGACGTCGCCCATGGCGTGCTACTGACATGGTCCGCCGCGCCACAAGCTGCCGCCGTGCACAGGTCAGGCTCCGCTCCGTCCCCCTCTCCTCGCTCCGATCTGCCGGGTGGCGGCTCCGGCCGAGGGCCCGAGCTTTGACGGGCTCCTGATCTAGCCAAAGATTGGTTTTTGCTTCCCCGGAGATCTTTCCGTGGATTCGGTCGCCGCGCTTCCATTTTTGTAGCCTCGGTTTTTCCTCCCTTTCCCGTTGTATTTCGCGTCCGATTCGGCAGGTTTCCAGTCCATCTCGCCGTGCTATTTCGGACCTCGCTTGACTGGCTTCTTGACTCATGTTTTTTTGGTTCAGTCGCTTCGATCCGGCGAGCCAAGAAGATGAACGGCGCGCCGATCCCCGCGGCGGCCGGCGCCGACGCCGCGCCGACGCCCAAGAAGAATGCGGTCGCCGAGATGGCCAGGCACCTCACCGTCGACACGGACGACGCCTTCGCCGGCCTCCTCGAGCTCGCCGCCGACGACGACGCGGACGGCCTGCGCCGCGCGCTGGAGCGCGCGCCCCCCGCCGCCGCGGACGAGGCCGGCCTCTGGTACGGCCGCCGGAAGGCCCTCGAGCAGCGCACCCCGCTCATGGTCGCCGCCACCTACGGCAGCCTCGCCGCGCTCCGCCTGCTGCTCTCCGTCCCCTCCGTCGACGTCAACCGCCGCTGCGGCCCCGACGGCACCACCGCCCTCCACTGCGCCGCCTCTGGCGGCTCGTCCTCGGCCGTCGAGGCCGTCAGGCTGCTTCTGGTGGCCGGGGCTGACGCCGATGCCGCAGATGCGTCCGGGTGCCGTCCGGCCGATGTGATCTCTGTGCCGCCAAAGATGATTGATGCGAAGATCGCCCTCCAAGATCTGCTTGGGCTCCCAAAGTCTGGGCATGGCGTGCTCCGGGTGGTGACCAGGGCCACAAACCTGACCTCGTCGCCGGTGTCATCACCCACCGCCGAGGACGCCCGGTCTCCATCAGCTGCTGTGATGATGATGTCAAAGTTCCCAGACCTGCCGAGGGTTGCAACCTCAGAGAAGAAGGAATACCCAGTGGATCCATCCCTGCCGGATATCAAGAACAGCATCTATGCCTCTGATGAGTTCCGCATGTACTCCTTCAAGATCAGGCCGTGCTCCCGGGCATACTCGCATGACTGGACCGAGTGCCCCTTTGTGCACCCTGGGGAGAACGCTCGGCGCCGCGATCCGCGCAAGTATCACTACAGTTGTGTTCCATGCCCTGACTTCAGAAAGGGTGTGTGCCGGCGTGGAGACATGTGTGAGTATGCTCATGGGGTGTTTGAGTGCTGGCTCCACCCAGCGCAATACCGCACTCGCCTTTGCAAGGATGGCACCGGCTGCAATCGCCGTGTCTGTTTCTTTGCGCACACCACCGATGAGCTCCGCCCGCTGTATGTCTCCACTGGGTCTGCGGTGCCATCCCCTAGGGCCTCAGCAACAGCTGCAATGGAGATGGCAGCAGCAATGGGCTTGATGCCCGGTTCTCCGTCATCGGTCTCGGTAGTCATGTCCCCATTTACCCCACCGAGGTCTCCTTCTGGCAATGGGATGCCCCCTTCTCTGGGCTGGCAGCAGCCAAATGTTCCGACGCTACACCTTCCGGGCAGCAGCCTTCAGTCGAGCAGACTCCGAAGCTCACTCAATGCAAGGGATATGCCTGTGGATGACTACTCCCTGTTGCAGGATATTGATTCCCAGCTTATAAACGATCTGTGCTACTCGCGTCTTGGTTCATCAGCAGGAGGGAACCACAGTTCTCGGACCAAGAGTCTGAACCCTTCAAACCTGGATGATCTCTTCTCTGCCGAGATGGTCTCGTCCCCGAGGTACAACAATGCTGATCAGGGTGCTATGTTTTCACCTTCCCAGAAGGCTGCTATCCTTAACCAGTTCCAGCAACAGCAGCAACTTCTTTCACCAATCAACACAGGGTTCTCGCCAAAGGCTGTGGATAACCAGCAGATGCATTCACGCTCATCCCTCCTGCAAGCATCACTTGGGATATCCTCCCCTGGCCGGATGTCCCCCCGCTGCGTCGAATCTGGGTCACCGATGAACTCCCACCTAGCTGCCGCCCTTGCCCAGCGTGAGAAGCAACAGCAGCAGCAGCACCAACAGCACCAGCAGACAATGAGGAGCCTCAGTTCTCGCGATCTCGGGCCCAGTGCTGCAAGAGCATCGGCTGCTGTTGGCTCTCCTCTGAGCTCATCATGGTCCAAGTGGGGATCTCCTTCAGGGGCACCGGATTGGGGCGTCAACGGTGAAGAATTGGGTAAGCTTCGCCGGTCATCTTCCTTTGAGCTGAGATCAGGCGGCGACGACCCAGATCTCTCCTGGGTGCACACACTGGTCAAGGAGTCTCCACCAGAGAAGCAAGTGACCACAGCTGAATCCATCAACAACTCTGTTAGACCTTCACCTCAAATGCATCCCGGTGTAAGTAATGGTGAAGGCCCCAGTGTGAGCACGCAGCTGAACCGACATGACCAAGCCGCGGTTATTGGAGCGCTGCTCGAGCAGATGCAGCTTGACGAGCAGATTGGTAGTCTAGCAGCAACATAGACGAACAACCAGACGAGCCCGGGGGGGAGGTGCGAGAAGAAGTTACCATTGTTAGCTAAAGAAGAATCGCAAGTATTTTTTTGATTTTCTGTTCATTGCGGTGGTCAGTCAACAAGCAAGCAAGCAAGCGAAAAGGATGGATGGATAGCTGAAGGCGGTGATTCAGGGATTGGTTTTCGTTAATTTTTGGGAGGTAAATCAATACACAACTATTGAGTTTCCATTTCCAGTAGGAGGTTAAATTAAAGAGTGGAGTTACCTACCTCAGTTTGGGGCCGAACGGAGGTAGAGAGAATCGCACCCCGGCAGCTTCAGTTCATCTCATCAGCCAAAAAAGATTTAGTTGTCTATTCTGTTAATTAACCCTGTTATATTAAATTTTAAAAGAAGAAGGCTCATGTGCCATGCCAGAATTCTTTCCTCTTTTTTTACCTTGGTGGTTGCTGTTTATTTTGTTTATTGTTGTGATGACATGGATACTTGATGTACTGACGGGGTATAAATGGTTACCCGGGCATGCTATAGTTCCAGGTCCCCAAATATGTTTTAATTTTAATTCTTCCTTCAACATGATTTGTGAGAGGATTTACACCATGGCCTTGTTTTTGGTCAGAAGATGTTGTTGATTCCTCTATTGTTCATGGATGATAATTGCAATGATAATAATGTGAAATCGTTTCGGTTTAGTTTTTCGCCGTCGAATCTTGGTTCATCTGAAGTGCTCCTGAATTTCTTGTGACTGGTGGTCGATGCAACCAGGGTTTTGTTTCTTGACTGGTAGATAGATGGAATTTCAGGGGTAGTGGGTGCACGTGGTGGAGTCGGTTGTGGGTGCATTTTTATTGGCCAAGTGTGAGCCAGATAATGCGCCGACTAGTCAGTGTGGAGATCGTGGAATCTTATCCCCGTTTTCACCCTAGATCTTGATTCGAATTCGTGCCGGTATTCGGAGGACGCGTAGCCGCGATATGATTCTTATTATTGCACCAGTTTTTGACAGTGAGGCGGTTCTAGATGTAGAATATTGTTTGGAACGTACTTTTTCTCCAAGGGGGGTCACCAAAACGAACCTCCTCAAATGTCCGGATGTGTTTGCGGACAGTGATGGTGGTGCCGGCCTTCCAACAAATATCCGTCCCTTGTCCGATGCAGAGATCACAGAAAAGAAAGATGGAAAATGAGTTTATGATGGATTCAAGGCTGAGTTCGTGTGTCCGGACTCCCCCGACCCTTCCATAAGTTCGGGGCGTTTTGTGGTTGGTCTGAGGCTGAGTTAGCGTGTTCGGACTCCCCCAAACCTCCTCTTAAGTTTGGGAGCTACTTGTGGGATTTCAAATGTCCAAGCTAGTTTACAGATATTTGATGATTGCCGGTGGATGGCAAAAAAATGCCTGAACACGCCTGTTCAGACATTTGACGATTTGATGACTCCCGTTTCGAGTTGCCCTTACAATCCCCTTTGCCATCAATGCATTCCCCCCAAACTAAGTACCGTGTCGATCTCCACTCCTTCCTACGTAGTCGGCAGCCTCATGGATTGAAGTCGACATTGGCACTCCAGGGCGCCGGCCATCCAACAAATATCCGCCCCTTGTCCAATGTAGAGATCATAGAAAAGAAAGACAAACGATTAATTTATGATGGGGTCAAGGCTGAGTTCGTGTGTCTGGACTCCCTCAACCCTCCCCTAAGTTCAGGCGCGATTTGCGGTTGGTCCAAGGCCGGGTTAGCGTGTTCGAACTCCCCCAAACCTCCTCTAAGTTTGGGGGCTGTTGGTGGGATTTCAAACGTCCAGGTTAGCATTTACAAATACCCGTCCCTTGTCCAATGCAAAGATCAGAGAAAAGAAAGATACAAAATGAATTTATGATGGGTTCAAGGCTGAGTTCGTGTGTCCGGACTCCCCCTATCCTTCCCTAAGTTCAGAGCGCTCTGCCGTTGGTATTAGGCACAACCTCCTATAGGTTTTGGGGGTTGTTTATGGGATTACGAACGTTCAGGCTAGTTTACAGACATTTGATGACTGCCGGTGGATGGCAAAAAAAATGTCCGAACACGCTGGTTCAGACATTTGGCGACTCCCGTTTGGAGTTGCCCTTACGATCCCCTTTCCATCAATCCCTGTCCCCAAAACTAAGTATTGTGTCGATTTCCACTCCTTCCTAGTCGGCAGACGGCAGACTCATGGATTGAAGTCGACTTGGCACTCCAGGGCGCCGGCCATCCAACAAATATCCGTCCCTTGTCCAATGTAGAGATCATAGAAAAGAAAGATAAAAGATTAATTTATGATGAGGTCAAGGCTGAGTTCGTGTGTCCGGACTCCCTCAACCCTCCCCTAAGTTTAGGGGCGATTTGTGGTTGGTCCAAGGCCGGGTTAGCGTGTCCGAACTCCCCCAAACCTCCTCTAAGTTTGGGGGGTGTTGGTGGGATTTCAAACCTCCAGGTTAGCATTTACAAATATCCGTCCCTTGTCCAATGCAGAGATCAGAGAAAATAAAAATAAAAAATGAATTTATGATGGGTTCAAGGCTGAGTTCGTGTGTCCGGACTCCCCCAATCCTTCCCTAAGTTCAGAGCGCTTTGTCGTTGGTCTTAGGCACAACCACCTATAAGTTTGGGGGCTGTTTGTGTAATTTCAAATGTTCGGGTTAGTTTACAGATATTTGATGACTGCCGCTGGATGGCAAAAAAATGTCCGAACACGCTGGTTGAGACATTTGGCGACTCCCGTTTGGAGTTGCCTTTACGATCCCCTTTCCATCAATCCCTGTCCCCAAAACTAACTACTGTGTCGATTTCCACTCCTTTCTAGTCGGCAGCCTCATAGACATGGCTCATGGGCTGAAGCATTGATTCGACATTGGCAGTCAAGGGTCCCCATCATTCCATCAAGACTATCACTAGACAAGTACAGGCATGACGTGCACAGGCCAGAAGCATGGTATAGGATGATGACACGATGAGCAGAATTTTCTTCTCCTAAACGGAGGCAAAAGTGTTGCCCCATCAATCAAATTAATTAAGAAGAGAATCGCCCAGTTAATTCAAAAAACCGGGAGAAAACCAATGGCGAGCAGAAATGTGTGCGTTTCAACCTTCATTTTCAACTTTCAGCACCTTGATGGCTACCCTTTTGCTTGTGTGAGCAAGTTCAATGAACAATTAGGAAAATAAAATTGCTCTAAGACTCATAGCCATGCTTCCACAATCAGCTGGTGCACAAAGATCAAACGTAATACACACCAGCCTCCAGGCACTAGTTCACAAATAGCATCGATTAACGAAAGAATCAACTGTTACCACGAACATGAATCTGACACCATCCAACCCCAGCAGTAAGTTAAACTAATACAATTCAATCCCATTTCAAGTCAAATTCAAAGAATAAAAATAAGAAGTCCTATAAGTTCGCAAAGACAAACTGCTGCAGATTGAAAGTAAGAGACGGACACTCCAGCTAATCTCTGGTTGAAATCGAGTATGGTACAAAACAGGGCGTTAGTTAAAAGTTACCAAAATCAATCGAGACATCACTGACTGACATTCATTTGTAGTCCGTAATCACTTGGAAGCCCATTTACAAAAAATGCCACCGCTTGTTTTTTTGCGCGCTTGGTGGACATTAGATTTCTGGTCCTGCAGAACACCGCTGATCGACTCGACAGATGACTTACTCCCTCTTTCTGGATTTCTGAATCTTGACATAAGGCAAAAATCCAAAGAGGTGGATAATGCGCGGCTCCCACCCACGCTGCTGAGCTCGGCAGAACATCAAGAATGTGTTTGCAAAGTAAGAGTTGAAGCCCATAAGCACATGCCACCATGCGTGTCCCTGCGGGTTGATGACCCAGAGCGAGAGCTTCTTACAGAAGATGCGATCAACTAGCCAGCAAACTGTCGCCAGGAATATGGTAAGAACCCACAGCTTCGCGAGCCTCTTGGCAGCCAGGTCTTTCGTCTGAATGTAGTACTTGTACATCCGCGGGATGCAGAGAAGGCAGAGGCCAATGTAATGCAACTTGAATACTACTTGGAATCGCACGAAGAAGTGAACTACAGCAAATGCAGCACCGTATAGGACAAGGAAAGTAGGCATGGTGCTCCTGTAATGCCAGTCTGGTGAATAAAGGACATACAGATATAGGAGGATTTCCCACACCATTGGAGTCTCATCACTCTGCTGTAAGCTGGAAAACGAAATATGGCCAACACAAATCAATATATTATATTATATATTGCATGCAGTAAAGCAAAAAAGAAAGAAAATAATATGAAGAATTTGGCTGAAGTTAGACATGCTGAAACTGAGAAGCACACCAAGAAAATGCCTGTGATGATCCATGAGGACTCAAATGCACAGCCTTTACTCAACAGATTAAGAGAGAATGAATTTTAACTTGCACATCATGGTCTTAATTACAGGAATGCATCCCCTCTACATAGTACTTGAAGCAACTCACTGATTGTGATTGTGATGTAATGGATATGGTATTTATAATTCAAAGTACATGCAGCACAGACAGTTGTTAAGGAGGTAAGTGGTAACTAATGATGTGCATCAGGCTACTTCCAATGCATTGGTGCTTACATGAGGTGCTAAGCACATTAAAAACTTTAGCAACTAAAGCCCCCAATGCATAGGTGCTTAACTTGTTGGTGCTAAGCATCCTTCATTTAATAATTTTGCAACTAAAGTTCTTCATGTATTGGTGGGATTCTTCCATTTAAATGTTTTGCCTAGGTTCTCGCGCTTGGCATCGTTTCTTCCTGGGGTCACCACTCACCTCTCTCCTCTTAATTACCTTGCCACATCAGACTTTTAGCCTACATGGCAGCCTTAGCACCTGTACAAGGTGGAGCATTGGGAGGGGCCTCATGTGTCCACCAAAACACGTAAGTTGCTTTATCCGGGAGACTTCCAATTTACTAATTTGCCAACCAAAAGGCAGCTAGATTACCCTAATGCATTTTTTGAAGGAAACAACAGGAGTGGCAAATAGTGAGCGCCTGTAACTACTGAAATTTTGTCATAAACATAAGAAAACCATTTAACGCAGACACCATTTCAGCAATGAACAGCTGCACCAGTTGTTGATGGTCAGCCAGGGCATAAGTACAAACATGCCCAATTTTTAATTCAAAACATTCCAAATAAATCACTCGTTGGGGTGCGCAAGTGCATATTCACTCATCAGTGCATCACATCAAATAAGCATAGAGTTTTGAAAGCAAGACTCAATGGAGAAAACAATCTAATGTGGCTTGTAATTTATCAATGCAACCTTCTGTACCCAAGTTTTCGACCTATAAAGACGGTCCTGTTTTGTTTGTAATTTGCCTGTATTTTTATAACTTCTCAGAGTAGGGAAATTTTCAAATTATTAAAGGGAACGTTCACCAAAAATTTACAAGGTGCTCTAACAGAATCACATAGAAGTAACAAAGAATGTATTGTTTATGGCTTTTGGCTTTGTGCAACGGATAATAACAACACTGTTGTAAGCAATAGTCAGCGGAAGTAAAATGCACTTCTTTGAATATCCACAGCAGCGAGATCAAAGAAAAATTCAGGTCAAGAACGGCAAGATAACAATCACAATAGCAGGGCGCAATATATTATAGTACTAATACAAACTTAACACAAATTCATGTTAACAAAATATCTTCTGCAAATGATTCAAATGGCAGTAAATATAGGTTCATAAAAGGTGCATTTATTTTCTGTAATCCGAAACTCTCAATCAAATGCAAGCTCGAGTCGCTAAATGTAAAAGGTGTGTCATGGGAGATAGTACCTAACAAACTCAGATCTACAAATAATGATACGTTCTCTGTATTTCAATAATTTATAGTCGCCAATACTACATCATGTTCACTTACTAAGCTGTAACCACTGTAGAGAGAAAATCAGCCAAAAAGATAATGAAAATGGTCACGGTGAAGGAAGAAACCACCTCTGAGCAAATTAACAACTGGCGTTGTAGAGCTTTTTTCTCCTCAAAATGGTAGGGAGCTTAAATTTTAACTTTGATGTTTTGAAGCAAAGCCATAACTAATAAAAAAGAAAGAGGAAATTACCCTAGTTTCTACCACATGAGATAAAATGTTGTAACCAAAACCCACTCAATCATTGTGTGCACAATTTGCAAGATGCGCGTAGTAGGAAAGAACAACATTCAACAAGCAAAAGGGCTAACTCCCAGAATTGCATGATTACAATTAATACCAACCAAGAATACCAGTACAGTTAACTAAAAACTTACACATGTTGCAAGGTTGCATGGAAGATGATACTCCCAATGGAAAGTATCATATTGGATATGTGCAGGACGCTGAAGCGCTTCTCGAAACGCTGGCGGAGAGCATTCACAAGCCCAATAAGCGCCAAAAGAATGCACGGGGCATTAGAGAGAGTATTGTAGAACTCTGCGATGTATGACGAGCGCGCATAGTTCTCCTCGCACAGCTCAGTGGTTGATGTAACCGGCCCCCAGAAGCTCGCCACCATCGAATCCGCCATGGAATCGGCCATGATTACCTCTTGACTTGGTATGTTATCAAGAGGTTATTGCACAGCACAGTGTTGGAGGGCAGCAAACCAAAGACCTGCAGAAATGAGACGTAACTTTGTCAAGACCTACGCAATTCTAGTGGTAGTTAATCATACTCCTGCGTGTACAAGATGTCAAAAATGTCGGCATGTGGCGGGTACAGCAGGTAAAAAAGTCGTTAAAAGGTAATTGACGTTTCCATCAATTATCCTATTCGTCCATAAAAGGCAAGGGTAATTTTCCCAGTAATGCAGTAACATAATAATAATAAAGGCGCAACACCTCCTCTTGGCGCAAATAATCCAAGTCAACATCATCAAACGGCTCGCAGCAAGCACAACTACACTCTACATAACTCTTACTCGGCGAGGGCTCGAAGGAGACCTAACAATTAAACGCAACTGCAACCACCTTAAGGTGGGCGCTCTTACAACAGAATCCAGCAGCACCCGCAGATCCCGTCAGAGGTGCAGATTCGCCATAGCAAAATTCGGCATCGACGATTCTGAATCCCCCGACCAACCCCCGCGGCACGGGCAGAACCTCGATCAGACCTCTAGACCGAACCCCACACGCACGCTTCCGAACAGATCTGCCAGCGGCGGAGGCCGAATCAGCGGAGAAACGCGGACCACTCCCCCGCCGCGGCGATTGGCGGGCCGCCGATCCCGACACCGTCGGCGCGACCGCGACACCCCACTCCTCGTGGGAGACCGCCCGTGCAGAAATTCAGATCGCCGAGACCAGACGGAACGACCGGAGGGAGGGAGGGGGCGGGGAGAACCCGCGGCTAGGCTAGGCTAGGGTTTTGATCGGAGG